AGTCTCATTCTAGGTGACATCTGGGGAAAGTTATGAAAATTTTTGTTGATTTGGTAGTGGTGGATCCTGTTAATGCCCTGGATGATGATGTTGGTCAGTGACTCCCTTCTCCAATTAGTGATTTTTGCCCCATTACTAAAGAACCCTAAAAATGTTATTACAGTCTGCGTTTGATGTTTCTGGTCTCAAAGGACAAACCTTGCCTATGATAAAGGATTTAAAACCTGTTCACTAGATGTTGTTGCTTCCAGTCATGCTTCTGTCTATTGCTTCCCTTCATTATAATTTCTGTGTTTCTCCATTCGCTTTTCTTCTCTGTTTTCCATCCGTTTCCTGGTACCCTCTAAATGGTACTTTTCTTCTTTGTTTCTTCTTCAGCCTCCTCACTGTCAGTGAAATACTGCAGATAAAATCCATGTAGCGTGTGCAGGCACCTGTATTTCAGTTTAGAGTTTTTCTGCATGGCATCCATGGCTCCAGGAACTCTTTAAAAAGAGAATATGCTAGACCTGAGCAAATCTTCAGCAAACCCAGGTGGGCATGCAGCAGGCCTCAGCCCTCTTTCAAGGATCCCTCTCTTGAAATCCTCCCGTTAATTACTTTCTGCTCCTCACAGATCTGCTTTGGCTCCTTCTCCACAGATAGATTCTGTTTGCACTTTTGTACAGCAGAGCAAAGTTTGACCCAGTGCTTCTTAATTATATAGCTTCCTCAAGGGAATACATTATTATAAATCAGACTCTTCAGTCAAAGAATTGCATGATACATGTTTTTAATAGTTACACTGTACTATTAAAATACTTTATTCTATTTGACTCTTGTTACAAAGTAAAATATACCAGTAGATGATAACTGAAGTCAGCTAGGTGGTCCTGTTTGCAAGTTATTTCTGTGAGTAACTCCTGTTGAGAAAAGGTATTACTATGCATTCCTTATCCACTTAAGTACCATTTCTTGACTTTCATATGTAGTAGTTTCACTATGTGTGTTTTAGACTAACTGATTACTAAACAGTAATCGAAGAAAATGTGAACAGTGGAAAAACTAGGTTGTATTCCTAGTGGTGAATCTCGGAAGAAACAGCAAAAGCTGGTTGAGAGTAGACCCATGATGGTAGAGAGGATAGCATCTCTATTTTTCAGTTGGAAATACTGAGATAGAGAAAGATTAAGTGATTTGCGCAAGGTCACACAGAAAACCTGCGTCAAAACAAAAAACAGTCTCTTGGGCTTCTGACTCCAACTTTTGAGCATTGCCGCAAAACTGTCCTTACTCCCCTTTTGAAGGGTTTGTTTTATGAAAGTACTTACAGTTTGCTACATCAGACCACAGTAAGCTAACAGCAATACAGGTTGCAGTCCGGTTCATCTATCCCTATAAACTTTGGCTTTAGAAATACTTAACCTGGGAGATATTCACAGTTGCATGGAGTTAACAGCAAACACTAAACTGGAAAAATATTTATAAAATTCAGTAACTTCTAGTATTGGCCTAATACAGCTCTAACTCTCCTGCCTGCTTTGATTGTGTATCCTAAGGGGTTGTGTAAATATTTATGCGCATGTTTAACTTCAGGCATGTGCAAAACTTAAAAAAAAAATCCATTATACCAATCCAAAGCTATATTTGGGAATGGATCATAAATTTTTAAAGTACTGGGGCTTTTGTAGGAAGTGCTGCTGTATTAGATATATAGTCACTTCATGGGTTAACCTTCAGACATAGCACTGCATGGGAGGATGTGGATTTTCAATTCTTCCCCCCTCCCCCCCCCCCCCCCCGCCAAGCAATGGAAAACACATAACAATTGAAAAGATGTCTGTTAGCCACAGCCTATGCAGAAAATCTCCCTTATGAAACTTTACATGGCAGATCTTGTGCTGTCCACTGATGTGGACTCAGATTTTTGTGTCTATTTATTTCTGAACCGTCGTCTTGTATGCATGGGGAATGCACAGTGAAGCCTAAAAGGTGAAGAAACTGAATAATGGCTTTGTTTGTTACTTAGTGGGTAAAGCATGTTTAGGAAAAGCACCCCCCCGGTAATTCTTTTACAGAAGTGTATAACATGTTTTTAGGGGGTGTTTGCATGTGTTGAAGCTTATTCATACTGAAGTTGGATGGCAGTATTGATAGTCAGCAAATTCTTTATGAGGTGAAAGAAACGCAACAAATTCATATGATAAAACTTGTATTAAAAGAATTTTCTGAAACAAAGCCACAAATATCAGAATATTCCTACTTTAGAGTAAAGATCAATTTAGGCGCAAAGAATCTTACTCTGCTAATAAAACAGTGGAGTATTCGTTAATACTTGGGACTTTCGCATCTTTTGCACTCTGGAATTGCCTCACGATCTGACCTTCTTTCGTGCTGCAACTGTGTCAATATCATCAAGTTTCCCATTACTGATGTAGGAGATAACTGTATCCCCTGATAAACTGTGATATTAGAAAATCACATATCACTCCGTAAACGAGAACGCCAATCAGTAATGAGCTGAGCGCCATATAATGAGCTTTACTTTCAGGTTATGTCTGTGTTAGATTCCTTGCTGGGATAGCGAGCACTGTGACAGTGCTCACTCTTTTTTCTGTCCTGTGTACTTAAGGCTTAACTCATGCCTGATAAAGTCAAAAAGAGTTTTTCTACTAATGCTACCTATCCTTCAAGTTACAGAATTGAACTGTGAATTTTTGTGCTTCTCAATCTAAAATCTGATGGATCATGCCCAGTTATGTATTGTTGTTGCCCAAATGAAGGTGAGGCTTAAAAAGGTTCTCCCGCATAAAGTTTCCTTGTCTAGGTTTGGTTACAACTTCCCTGAAGGCAGTCAGAGACATTTCTGGTACTGAATCTCTAATACTGCTGTTTGTGTAAGTTCAACAATTGAAAAAAGGAGAAGGGTGGGGAGAGAAAGTTTGCTGTAAATAGAGCTGAACCCCTCTCCATTCTTCCCAGCCAATTGTACTACTATTTATGCCCAGTTTCAAATGATTCTTCTTAATCCTGAGAGTCAATTTCATTGCCAAAAAGTGTTTGTAGGTAATATGCCAACAAACCACCATGAGGCTGGCTTTGTAGTCTAGTACCACAAGATCTTCACATCTCTATGCAGTGAGGTGATATCAGTATTTGGAGAATGTGCTAGCATTTTGCTGTGCTGGCCTAACTCTCACAGCATTTGCTTTGCTCTGCAGGCCGGGTATATAGAATTCCTGTGCTGAGTATCCAGCAGAACACTGCTGCTGGCAGGACTGTTGTAACTAAGCTAATGAAGAAGTACTTTCCTGCAAAAAAGAAGAGCTTTTTCTAATGTTCACCCTTTATGTTAGACTGATACGGCCAGATTTGCTCTGGAGAACTTGTCTAGCTTCATTAAGCTTACACTGATCATACATTTAACCTACTGTCCTTATTAGGGATGTAAGCAGGGCAACTTGTACATCTTGACAACTGTTAACTTCACATGAGTTGGAAAATGAGCATTTAGGCTGTGAATTTCATGGGGCGGGGAAGAAATAGCAACCTGCTTTTTGTTCTGCATAAAACATTTAGTGTAAAACATTCTGAATAAATGTTTACCACATGGGATTCCGGCCCAAGTCTAGGGTTTCTAAGAATGACAGCACTAATAATTGATTTCTTTGTTTTAAGATTGCTTCTCTATAACTCAGTTTATAACATGGGACTGCTCCGATTCCTTTGACATTAACAAGCGTGAGGCTACAAGCAGAAGTGTTCAAACTGAGATACCTGTTCCCAGCCACTGAAATAGCGTTGACTGATAACCTGGCATCGCTTTGTGGGTAGGGGCCCTTTCTCAGTAGTGGCCTGTGCAAATAGTGCTTTCAAGAGCAGAGAAGTACGGCTGCTCAGTCACAGTTACTGAGATGCTGACATCTTTCCCTGAATGGTCAGAAAAGGATGAGGGCCACAGTGCAGTACTTCCTGGAAAGACCTAGGTAAAGATGGCAGTAGTCACACTGAGGAAAAGGGGCACATGTGGCTTGCCCCCATAATGCCTAAAGAGCTGTAGAGACCCACAAAGCATTGGAAGTGCTTTTGTTCTTTCTGAACGTCAAGCTCTTTCTCTGTTGGTTTGGCATCCGACTTCAAGTAAACTACTCTGCTAACAGAGAAGGTTTTATTCTCTGTCCATTGCAGTAATTCTAAGTAAAATTGTATTTATAGCTCTGCTTTGTAGTTTCCTTGAAGTTTGTTTATCTGTCTTATGTGAGCCTGTGTGAAAATTTACTCAGTGATGCCAGTTGCTGTGATGACACTTGCTAGTTCAGTGGTGGATGCAAAACAGTTTTCAAAAGAAAAGGTGTGGAAAATGAGGCTGTAACCATTGCAACATAGGAACTAAGATCCTTGGTGGTATGTGAGAATTGAAAGGGTTGGTACTGTGCGGCTGCCCTGTGCTGCTATATTTTAATCATGGCTTGCAACAAATAACCTTTTATTACACTGGTTCTCGGCACCTTCTTTATAGGACCACCACTAGTGACCATAGCAATTTCGCAGAATTGCTAGGATGATCAGGCCAAACACATCGTCACTTGTGACCCAGGTCTGAATTTGAACTTGAGTCCTTGGAGGTGAAAAGCTTGTCCGTTAACTCACAACACTGCCCACTATTACCTTTGCCAGCAGGCTGCTCTGTGAACAGCTGCTGTAGCGCGAAAGGCCAAAGGGAAGTGCCTTAGTTTTGCCTTGGTCCTTTCACACCTCCAAGTCACTGGAACATACCCAAGTGCATGGTAAACTGCAGGCTCTTTGCGGTGCAGAACAAGCTGTGCAGCTGACTTGAACTGAAACACGAATCATCTCAGTCCTAAATTATTTTAATCCAGTCAATCATCTGTATAAAGGGTTATAAAGAGACAGCAAAACTGAAAGAGTGGCTGCCAAGCAGAGGATACAGGACACAAATAAAGCTGCTAAAATGAAATGAAATATGAACTAATAATGATTTATTCCAAGTACCACTGGGGTTACAGTGTGAATGAGTGGGAAAGATATTCAGATTAAATGAGTTTTGTAGGCTTTCCCCTGAATAATTTTCATAGTCTCAGTAGAGGCGAAGGGAAAGTAAAGCTGTTTTAGGTACGTAGGGAGGACACCCAAGAATTCTGAAATGCTCCAGAACCAATTCTCCCTAATTAATATATGCTTTACGAGCCTTTTGTAAGTAGACAAGCACTAACAGCTGTAGTTCTTTTTATAGATACAAACTAATCTCTAGTACTTACTGGAGTTGATGGATTTAGAGAACAACATGCTGTGGATTCATAAGGCTTTTCTAGCCGTGGAAGTATTCTTTCTATGTCCTCTAAAAGTGGAAGGGATTGCAGAAGAATGCAGAGCACAGTCTTCAAGAATACTGCTTGGAAATGAAATTATGACAGGAGAAAAGGGACTAGCTCTAGTGATACATACCATACATGAATGCATCTTATTAACACATGAAGTGGCATGTTTGAGCTTTGACCCATTTTCTTGATAGGTTCAACCTTTTGCTACCACAGTGAAATGGGCAGTAATAAAGCACTTCCGTTAGCTGCCACCATTTTGCACTGGTGTGAATACTTCATGACAGGGGATGGGAAGAATTGCAGCTACATGTTTTCAGATAATTTTTAAAACCTAAACAGTAAGTCATAACAAAATGTATCAGACTTGATGAATATCTTTGAACACAGTTCCTATTTGAATATGATATATCTTTCCTCTTCTTTCTCCTTATTGCTAGCTGAATATATAATCAGTTTAACATTGCCCTCTGTCTGAAGACAATATCCAGTTGTGGTAGGTAAAGGCAGGAACTGTGATAGCTCTTTTCCAGCCTAATGCCTGTGATTTTATGTACATAAAAGCATCCTGGATTGTGAACAGTTTGTTTCTTTTGGCATTTTATTACCTGCCTGAACTGCCCGCTCATTCATCATCTCAAATTTGGCTGCTGCAGAAGTCATTATCAGTTCAGCTTTTAGTTGCAATAACCCTGTTTGAGATACGTTTCCCAAAAGTTTGCTTCAAATCAGTGCCCCAAATCCCCTGGAACCTACTGTGTTTTTCTTTTTTTTCTCAAGGGATGAGCTGGTTACATTGCTGTTTTAAGGCTGTTTCTGATGTGATGCTAGGAAGAGCTGGTTTATGTAGAACAAAACTACTTTCTGGGTTCCCTCCATTCTTTGGAAGCAGAGAATTACTGGAGGGGTGGGGAGGTGGGGATGGTGCAGGAGAGAACTCTTTCAATAGTTCTTTGTGCCCTGTGCTTTTGTGCTCAGAAGGTATATATTCCCCACTGTGGAACTGACTACACCTCATCATTTTTGGATTGCAAAGTTCTGTGGAGTGTAGATGAATTCTGTCCATTTATTCTCATGCCCTAGAAGGAGCACCAGGGAAAAGCAGAAAATCACTATTTCATAGAACTGTTTTCTTTCCTCTCTGGGGGAATAAGTACACTTCACTAGATGTAGTCACCCTGGAGAGGACCTTGCCTGTATGGATACTGCCGGTTAGGGAAGGCAGAAATTAAAATTCTGATGTGGAGAGGATGTGAATTCCACACATCTGTAGAAAAATATTTATGGGCAACTAGTCCCCCTCCGCCTAAGGTTTACTTTAGAAAAGCACACCTAAAGATAAATTATTTTGAAGAACTGAAAGTCAGTTGTATTTCCTTACCCATAAGATGTTTCATGTACTACTTTGAACTCTGCATTTTTCTCTTGAAATCTGCTAAGGGGAAGTGAGGAGGAGCTTTCTGGTACCTTCCTGTTGCCCCCGGGGAAGTTAGCTAAATTGTGTTAAGCTGCTCTCTAAATGACTGTTGGAAAAAGAATCTAGGTATGGAACGTAGGCTTGTCTTCAGTGTGATTCCCTTCCCTTCCCCCAGAATCTTAGAAGTTTATTTTAACCCAATCCAGGACTTCAAACTTCTGATCACGTGCATTGCCCTTCAACCATACCGCCCAAGAAAATTAGGGAAAACATGTTATTAATGAGAAAAGGGAGCACTGACTGTGTGATTAAGTTTTCATTTGCTAGAGGAACTTCACAGTAATGAAGAAAACATCTACAGGAAGTTACGTTCGTTTTTCCCCAAATCTTTCAGCTTTATCTCTGAAATAGCTTTGAAATTAAGCTACACTCCAGTGAAAAAAAGGTTAGTTTTGAATCTCATACTTCCCCTTCTTCCCAAGTTAATCTTAAGAGGCCTAGTAGGTAACATCTATGCAGTCGTGGAATATGGCTGAGCAGAGTAAAATCCAAGTGAAAGAAATCATTTCATGAGCTACATAAAGAAGAAATAATAAAATTATGATGTGACTCAGATCAAGAAGTGAACTGCTGGAAAGAGCTCTGATGCTGAACAGTTGACTCCCCTTGGTTTTATCTTTGCTTGTCCTGTGTTATCTCTCTGTAGGAGCATATCCGAACAACGTAGGAAGGTTTTCTGGATTCAGCTGATCCGTTATTCCGGAGATACTAACTAAGGTGATACTCTGGTTTACACCACCCACTTAGCTGTTGGAGTTCTTATTCTGGCTGTGGCTCTTGATCTTAGGGTACAGGAAACCAGAGCTGTGTTCAGAAGGTGGCTCTACTCCTTGGACATTGCAGTATGTTATTATAATGCTGGGTATCTGGGCTGCAGATGGCCTCTGGTGAGACTCTCCTTCTCTTAGTCCGATATCATTCAGGCTCTCACCTGTCTAAAGCATGCAAGGATTTAAGAGAAATAGAACATACAGATGTCTTCAAGGAAATCAGGTTGCAGCATGTATGAAAAAGCAACAAATGTTTAGATACAATCCTAACTACTAACTCAAAGCCAGACTTAAAGGATGAAGGACAAGGTAGACCTGAACATTTTTGGAATGTTTCCTGAGTACCTTATGAGAAAATTGTTAAAGAGGTTAATATATTAAAGCACAGACTTTGCATTTGCTACTTCAGAATCTGGTCTACTGTGGTAAAAGACCAGGCTAACGACCGCACATCCATCTGGGAACAGAAGTGCTCAGAATGTGCTCAGAGAGTCTATGAATTCAGTGAAATAACGAGTTCCTGCATAAAGCATTTGAGATAGATGAGATGACATCTGTTTAGGTTCATTGTGGCATGGACATTTTGAAAGGAGAAGCAAACTGGAGAAAAGAGTGAAAACAGGAATCAAAGGGAAAGTTAAAGTAGCTTATTTTGACAGTAGCGGTGCCAGCTGTGACTTGCACAGGACCAAAAAATGAGAATGTTAGGATGATGCTAGCAATAGCTTGTAAGGATCACTACTAACAATGCAGAGTTAATTTAAAATGTTTATATTACATTGTGATTAATACTGCAAAGATTAAACTGTGTAGCTCCCATTTTGCTTTCATCCAGCAACTCTTTTCTCTCATTTCTCTGTCTGTCAAGACTTAGAGCAAGTTAACTCGCTTGTGGAAGATATAAAAAAAAAAAATAATCAATATACTAAAGCTTTGTTACATGAACACATGAAAAGAGAAATACTGGGACCACAACTTACTGAATAAGTGCTATGGCATGTTTCAAAAACTTACCTGGATTTCCTGCAAGTTGCATGTTTAAGATGGTTGGCACTACCCAAAACAGACCAACATTAAGCAGTTAACAATATCAGTTTGTACAGTGGTACTTTCCACAGGACTGTGGCTATTTCATCGGGAGAGCCATGTGAATGGCTCATCTTCTCATGTGTGTTAATGTAAAGTCTGGCACAAAACTAAGACGACTTCCATGCTCAGCTAAGGAAATCACAGACCTCATCAGGGAACGGCTGAATCCATGAAAATATTCAAATTCTTTAAAGAAGTTGGGCTTAAGGAGAACTGTGTAGTATATATGTTCTCCATCAATCTCCATTTAGTTTCAGCAAAGCGTTCTACCACTTGTGGCATTTTTTTTTATATTCTATTGGGAGTATCATCTTATTTTTATGTCTCAGCAAATGACTTAATTTAAGATGCAAGACTGGGAGAAAATGTCGTTATTTTTATTCGCTCAGTTAGACCCATGGCAAATATTAAAATAACAATTCTTACAGCAGATGTAGCAGTGTACTCTGTGACATTCAGTTCCACCATGGATATGTCATCAGAATCTACAAATGTCTGAAAAAATAGCACAGAAAAGAAAGACAAATGACAGATAGGTATGTCACAATATGCTGCAAATGTGAAATGCAATGGGTAGGAAAAAGAAAGAAGGACAGCGGAGGACTGAAATATAGCAATCTTCTAAGGACAGCTTTGTTTTCTATCTCTCCAGTAACTATATTTGTTCATTTAAGAACAAATAGGGAGAAAACAAAAAAATGAGTCAAGTAATTTGTACACTGAAAAACAAGTATTACTGAATACAAACTTAAATAGAAGACATACCACTCAGATGCTAAGTTCAATACAACAATTCCTCTGCCTGCCACAAGTGCAACAAAGACAGCTGGATAATGAAGCAGGGCTGGCAATAAAAAGTTGAGGACCGTTTACAGCTTCAAGGTGTTAGTTCAGAGGTTATGCCCGTCTTCTGAGGGACGACTAATTATGACAAAATGTGCAGATTTGTTAACCTACCAGTTGTCTGAGAACTTAAATATTACCCAGTCTATTACCTTCTCAAAAATTCCAGAATCATGGCTTTTTGGTTTAGGTTTGGCTCTTCTGTCAGTAGTTTCAGTTGTGTCTTTTCCCATTTCATAGGAAACCTGTCTGCTAGCAGGTCTGGAGATCATAGTGGCGATACCAGTTTCTGTATCTGTGCAGCCCTAAAATGAATACAGCAAAAACAATCACTTTAGGTTCCTTAGATTTCCAGCCAATTTGCCCTGTAGAAATCAGCTTCACCTAGACAGAAATCACAAGAGGGACAGACATTTTATAAAAGACATTTCACAAAAAAGTTATGTCACGTACAGCTTAATAAATTCTTTTACTTGTAACTGGTTCAAACAAAATTATCAAGTCTTTTGAGTCTAAAATTCAGGTTACTTTTTCATAGATTTCAAGAACTACATGTAAGAAATTAAAAAAACATGCACAGTGGATCACGTAGGAACAGTGGTATGTGATAAAAAAAATAACATGTTCTGGGAAGTACTGAGAGCAGCGTTGCGTAGAGGAGAATAGCTGTCCTCCTTTACTTAATACTAATGAAGTCTTAACCTGGGTTACTGTGTCCAGTTTTGGGCACCTTACCTGAAGAGAGCATGGATGAACTCTCTCCGGGGGAGAATATAAAAAAGAGGTACAGAAAGACATGCCTGTGATGGAATTGAAGGCATTGATCTGTTAAGCCTGTTTTATTGAGAGAAAATCCCAAGTGGGGATGCTGTAGAAGCATTTTAGTACATAACAGATTGATTGCTCCAAGGAGGATCGGGATCTTTTTTTCTGTGTAACTGTGGGGAAGGGGAAAGGTAAGAGAGGAGAAGGGGAAGGAAAAAATACACTTAATTTACAGCAGTGACAGTCAAGGTTGTATTTTAAGAAGCAGCTTTTTAACTACGAGGCAAGCAATGATGAAGGCAATCTACAGAGTGAAAGGTCTCCACAGAGGTTTTCTAAGAAAAGGTTAATGAAATATCAAGCAG